TAAACGTTAAAAAAAAAGGCGACTAAAGGGGTTGTTTACGTCAAGATAAGATATCTGCAAGTAGAAAATCCTTTGCCAGACCTCACGTCGTATGGGGGGTATCTATATCGTGTTGCTCCCCGGCACTGATTGGATAGCGAAGTCGGTATCACACTTGACCTTGTATTTCCCATAGTATTTCCTGGTTCACACTTTAGGTTGGATCAATCTAAGAGAAATGAGACTGTGTGAAAATTAGACAGTTAGAAAGATAATCAATACATTACAAATGAGAATCGTCAAATTTTGTGAACTAAGCACTGCCGAATGAGGCAGAAAATGAATAGAAATCTAGACACTCGAACTGAGTCTCTGGACAGGTGGATATTCAGAAGAGTAGGTTGTATAACGTGGAAACAAAAAACATCAAGTTCTGAAAAGACGCGAATGAAAAGAGAATTACTGAGAGAAATAACAGAGATAAATTAAATATTTTGGCCACATTAGAAGACATTATACTCTTTTGAAAAACCCTACTGGAAGGAAAAGTGTTGGCTCTGTGGCTAAGTTGATGAGAAACGCTTCGTAATGCCGGGATGCCGGGTTCGATCCCAGCTGCGGGCCATGCGCCTTGCGTTGGTTTCGACAGTGGTATCAAGAAAGCCGACCGCCCAGCAGCAATGGCAAACTACTGGACGTAAATTTGCCTAGAAAAACCACACAACAGCCAGGGGCTGTTGGGGTTGGTTCTGCAACGCCCTGTAAAGGTTACACAACTAACAAATCAAGGATGGAAAAGTCGAGGGCAAGATAGCAAAATGTATCCACTTATACAAGTGGTAGGACAACATGAAGACATAGACTAATAGAAGTCTGAGAGAGTGTACAAGCAAGACAAGAAACAGTGTTGGAGATCCATTGCAGCCAACTTTCAATGTGGAGACTGTAACTGATCGATGATTGATGAAGATCACAGTAACATGCTAGCTTTCAAATGACATCAGCAATGTAAAGTTTTGTAAACGTGTGGGTTATATTGTTGTCACAATAGGACTGGAACTATTACTTGCGGAACGTTGATATTTATGTTTAAAGGGGAATCAGAGATCCTTTATAAGTGTCTGGAGTACCGTGAAAATAACCCGAACACATGCTAGTAAGCTGAATTAAGGAATAGGCGAAGAATAAGCGACAGCGTTGAATGCTTTAAATTGTGAATGTATATATAGTGTGAGAATGTGCTGAGAGAGAGAGAGAGAGAGAGAGAATGAGGGGCGATAGAAACAGAGAGATAGTACATGAGAGGAGGAAAGAGTCATAGAGGGGAACAGGATGAGAGAGAGAGAGAGAGAGAGAGAGAGAGAGAGAGGGAGAGAGAGCACGGTGTTCTCCATATCTGAAATTTTGTATGTCACTGAAATGTCAGTTATTTCTGATACAAATGTCCTTCCATAAGACCGTGGAGTGTGAAATATCCAAACAGTCCTACCCACACCTGGAGCCGCCTATGGCAAGAGAGGGCCAATCGCAGAGATGAATGGAGGTGGGCGTGATATCTAGCAATGAACTACACGGACACGGAATGCTGATGAAGACGAAGACGTCCTTCCATGTCATGAGATTTTTTTTCTCAAAAGGACTAGGACTAGGACTCCGTGTCATGATGCCACACTGTCTATCACTGTCTCTCTTGGTCTACCGCTCCAACGCTCCTGCATATAATAGTTTTCAGTATCTCTGATGTTTCCGCAGTCAATATTCTGCGTATTCTACCTCTAGCTTTGCTACCGATGTATCTGCAGCAAAAACTGCAACAAAACACGTGGCCAGAGGAAAGATACATCCAGAACAAACTTTGGAGAACATTTAGAGACTTGCTGCTGACCTGCTGGTTCATGCAGATAACTCGACTTGAGCATATGAAACTGATCACAAAGAAGAAAAACGTAATCCAGTAATCACAAGTGATATATGGTTCTATTCTCTTGGTAAACACTTGTCTATAGTTACCTAGACAGTTCTGGGACAGTGTGGAGGGGCAGATAGATCATTACAGTCTAAGGAGAATGACGCTGCGAGGAGTTACCAGGGAATCTGGCCGACGCTGAACACTCAGAGAAGAATAAGACGGATATACAATCAGATGGTTACTGGTACCACAGGAATTGAAACTCTTCACTTTGCTGCTGAAGATGGGGACTGAGCATTTATGGGAGTGTTCCAAGTGCTGTGATGTCAATTCTTAATTCAACATTCTTAATTCAACATTCTTGGGACATCAGCTTCAGAACAAACTTGTTAAGTCTAAGATTATTGTATAAAAATATTTCCTAAATTATTTCTACCTCTTTAGGATGCTGACAACAACAAAAACATCAAAGCCAAACATTACTGTAATGTGTTGCTTCCACTGTTTTAGAGTGGGGAGTAGATCCAAAATACTATATACATGTTTGTTCTCAAAATCATAGATTATCGAGAAAATGTTTATATCAATATTTATTTCCCCCTAAAGCATGAAATACTGTCTGAGAATATCGTAAACATGTTTATAACCTCTAATACAACAACAGTAATTCTTTAAAATCTAAACCAAGCCAAACACCTTTGTAAATTGCAGTTTATTTAATATTTAAAAAAAAAAAATAAAACATATCAATTCTTCCTTCACACATTTAACTAATGCTTTTAAAAAAAAAAGTAAAAATCACACAACTATTAGTGTTTTATCTAGTACTATAATTTTATTTCAGTGACTTCTTAAAATAGTTAACACCTAAACTAAAAGAAGAAAACATTGAATGGTATTATTAAAATATGTATTAAAATAAGTCAACACCTTATATTTATATAGAAGAAGAGAGTATAGAGAATATAGAGAAGGCATTCGAGTTAATAAATAGATGAAAGCTATGGAAAATTAGAGTAATTAAAATCAACTGTTGGCTGACATTGTGGCTCATTATCAAGTCAGTAAGTGCAGAGTAAGAACAACAGAAGGAATGACAGACTGGTTTCCCATCTCATCAGGTATCAGACAGGGATGTGTCCTCTCACATTTGCTTTTCATTACTTACATGGATAAAATTACACAGGAGGAAATGCAGACACTGAAAAAATAGACAAACTTCTTTTTGCAGATGATAAATGTCTAATACAACATCAAGAACAGAATTTACAACATCATCACCATGTAGCAGGTCCTTTGCAGAACGTCGCTCTCATCACAGTCTGCCTGTAAGAAACTCGGTCTCTTGCCAGTTCTCCAGCCTCATGAACTTTTGCACTCAAGGAGTCACTTATATCCTGTGCCCATCTTCGTGTCGGTCGGCCTCTGCCCCTCTTTCCTGGTGCCATGCCTTCTGCTATAATTTTTTCCAATCTGCGTGGCGCTTGATATGACCAAAATATTTCAGCTTTTGAGAAAGGATGCTGTTTATTAGCCAATCTTCCTTGATGTTCAGATCTTTTAAGATGTCAATATTTCTCATCTTCTTTGTCCAAGATATTCTGAGAATCTTTCTATAGCATTTCAGCTCAAAAGCCCCTATTCTCTTTCTTAAGGACTGAGAGATAGTCCACAACTCACATCCGTATGTAGTCACAAGAAAGATGCATGCTTTCAAAATTCTAATTTTTATCTCCTTGCTGGTGCTTAACCATAGACTTTTAAGGCTGTTCAATCTTTGCATTGCTATGGCCATTCTCCTTTTAATTTATGTCGAACAGTCTCCATTGTTGTTTATTATAGAGCCTAGATATTCAAAGTTTGTGACATTTTCAATTTCTTCATCATTTATTGTTATTTTTGGGTGACAGCCAGTTTTATCTGTGGACATTATTTTCGTTTTCTTTAAATTCAAGAACAAATTTTGATCTTCACTGTGCTTTTGGACGGACAATATTAAATTTTCTATTCCCTTTACGCTGTTCGAAAGGAGGACTGTGTCATCTACGTAGCGGAGTTCCGGAATAGGGTTGCAAGTCTGGTCATTTTTGACATTTCTCATTATATTTTCTGCGTATTTTTGAATAGGTATGGTGAGAGAATGCACCCCTTCCTCACCCCCTTCTGCACCTCGAACCAATCAGATGTTTCACCAGCTGCTCTGATAGCTGCTTGTTGTTCATAATAGAAATTTTCAATTAATTGCACTAAATGCGCTGGAAACCCCATACTTTTAATAATAGTCCACAGTTGGTGATGCTGGACACCATTAAATGCCTTGCTATGATCAATAAAACAAGCATGAAGATCTACATTGTATTCTCTGCATTTTTCAAAAATTATTCTCATATTAAATTTTTACAACACCATAATGAAATACAGAGAACCACGACACTAGGCTATAACCTGGTATCAATGGAATGAAAAAAGAAGAAAGAAGGAGAAGTCCTTAAAAAAAATGTATATATTCTGTAACAGATAAAATCTATGAGCTTCTGTAAAGTTAGATGGAATTACCTTAACAATGTCTTGTATTATTTTCTCTCAAAAGATATTACTCAAATTATTTCTAGTGTTGACACATAAAAAAATTGAAGCAGCATCTGCAGAAATCTCACTGAATACTTTAATCAAAATTGCCAAAGCAATGTAATGACAAGTATCTACTCACTAATGATAAGTATCTAGACATTAATGGTGCGCACAATTGAAAAATCATTATATCAAAGGGTTAGGAGCTTGGCATGCAGGCATGTCTAACATTCTGCCCTCTTATCTTGCTCCCTTTGTTTAAACTTTCATGTAACCCGTTTGAGAAAACTGTTTAACTGAGAAACCCAAGATAAATTGTATTCACTATATGCTGTCTGTAGAAGCTCAATATTACAGTTGTAGTTTTTTTTTTAGTGAAGCATGCATTCATTTTATGGCACATTTTTAAACAGTTTTGATCAATAAAAATTTAACATGACAACTTGGACAGGATGCATATGTAACATTTTTTTTTTAAATCCACGTGCATACATATAACTACTAGGATAAAATCTTCTTTTCCAGCAAGAAAAAATATGTTTTAGAATTCTGTGGGTTTCCTTGTGGCTAAATATGCCTTTATCTTCTCATTACTTTCCACCAGCTTCCTGAGAGCATTCAATAAAGGGAATCCTTCAGTTTTGAATGTTTTCCACTTTGATTCAGTAAACACTTGATCATAGATAAACAAGTCTGCCAGTGTTAGCTGTCAAATAAGAGAAATCAAGTAAAATATTACAGTAATGTATCAAACATATGAAAGCTCTTGAAAATCAGTGGCCAAAAGGAAATTAAACTTGGTACCAAATTTTAAAAAACTACATTTCGATGTCAGTTCAGTATTGGTGTAGGGAGCTGAAACATGGGGACTTACTGTAAGAATTATTTATAGTTAGAAATATTCATTAACTGGTGATTATTGACAGTATACAAGATAGAAGGCTGTGGGTAGAAATGATCAACGACACAACATGGCATAGACCAGGGCTATTCAAGTGGCCATATCCAGCCCGCCAAGGCCTAGCAAGTGGCCCGCGGATCACTGCTAGTTGTATTGCATTTATGGTCTTTCTATGCTAGGGGTGGGGCTTCTGGCCCGTGACGATCCCAATTTTTGAACATTTTGGCCCCTAAGTCAACTTAGTTGAATAGCCCTGGCATAGACTATAGGTTCTTATGTTTCTATTTATATTTATGCAACTGACTTTTGTTTAAATGTTAAGATAGCACAGCTGACATCACTGGACATTGGGCATTCCCATCTGTGGTCAGTGCTATGATTTAGTGGCTGCCCACGTAACTCTACTCATGGTTTCCATGAGAGGTTGGTTACAAAGTTGCCGATCTTGACTTACAGGTAGCACTGATGTGCTTCACCAGGATTCATTCCAAGGTCATGTAATTATATTAGTGTCAGACTCATCCTTGGTCTCCAGCCTAGTCCATATAGCGTCGACATCCACTCTGACCATGCATATTCCCACACACAGTTCCACACATTCATAACCTGAACCTCAAACATGCCCAGGTTGTGGGTACGCTCCATGGTTGAGCCGAACTTTTTTTTTAAAATGTCTTTGGCTCCCAGGTGGACCCAGCTTTGAGTGGTTACTGGGTGCAGTCCTGGGAAGTAAAGGCTGCCGGCGTGATGCTGACCACAACACCCATGCCGATTGTTCTATAAAATATAGTTCTAGTCCTATATGACCTACACGCCTAAAGGCATGGAAAAAGGTCCTTTACTTTTTTTTTAACTGTACCAACATGCCTAGGTGAGGGATATTAAATGTGACTTTACATTGCTATCTCTCCATTCAGAGCTGAGGCTGCCTGTTGCAATTTTCTGAAGCATGTTCAAAGATCCGATATGATCATTACATGTGTGGCTGCTTGTTCTGCTGCCCGTTTTGTTAAATAAAAAAATATTCTAAAAAAGTAAAGTAAAGATCCCTTTCCACGCCTTTAGGCATATCGGGCATATGTGAAGAGCGCCCAGATGTTTACAGACCCTCAGCACTCGGTGGGTAATGTGGTCAGCATTACCCCGGCCGTCTTTACTTTCCCAGGACAGCCCATCCTGGTACCCATTTTAGGCTGGGTCGACCTTGTGACGCCCCGTACCATGATAAAAATTCACGCAGCCAGCAGTGAGTTTTGATCGCGGTAAGCCGGATTACGTGTCGAACTTGCAACGCCTAACCCACGGACGCCGCTTGAATAAATATACTTCACATGAAATGTAATGTACACATTTATATTTTTTAATGAATATAAAAACAGTAATCCTAAATGAAGAGTAAAGAACAGCAAAGAAATCTAATTTAATTTGTTGGGGCCTAGTGGGCTTATGCTATGATTTACTTTTTGTAGACTAGTCAGCATTCAAGTGGTGATGTTGCCAAATTTATACAGGCTAAAACCACTTCCCATAATATTTCATGCAACCTCTTTCATGTCAGTTCGACATGACAGCACATCATTAAAAATAATCTCTATTTGTTTCTTTTAAAAAAACCTGACAGGCAGACATATTAGCCATGACGAATTCATGAAAGTAAATCCAATTTTTTTTAAACATGTGACTTCAAAATTTAGTGAAGCAAATAACCAATTTTAAGTGCTAAACACAGCTTAAAATGTGACTATAAAGCTCAGTCGAATAGAAAAGGCATGCACAAATACAACCAAAATATAGCCCTTTATGTTCAAAGTTTCTCACCCATATCTTGGTTTCATGTTGACCTTAGTTGCTTAGAAGCTCTACTGTCTTGTCCACTGAGTTTTCTGGTCACAGTCTGTGTTTTTTTTAGTACTCCTGTGATAAAGACTTTGCTCAAAATGTTTGGTTTTTTGTGTGTGTGTGTGTGTGTGTGTGTGTGCATCTTTTCTATCTCTCATTTGAGTTTTCTAGTCACATTTTTATTGTTTCTAAAGTCTTCCCATGTGGGACTCAATTTCTCTTTATTTTGAAGCCCCACCCCAGCTTTTGCCATGGGTGATCCTCATCCGCATGGTGGCACTTTGTGTCACCGGATATATCGCTCTGTGTGATGTCCTGGTGGGGTAAAATTTACTTACTTACTTCTAGCACCAATTCTCATCTGCTTGACTGCAGTCACTCCTATTTACACATGATAGATAGACATAATAAACAAGGGAGACAAATAATCTACAATATTTTTGCAGCATATTACCTGGTCACTCCCCTGCTTAATTTAGTAATATGAAGAGTTTTATTTATTACTTACAGAGTCCCCACAGAAGTAACCAGTGCTTGACTCTTTCAGAAGCTTTTCATACATGTTAAAGAATCTTGGTGCTTCCACTTCTGCAAAATTTTTCATTTTCTCTGCCTGTTCAGAATCAAAATAAAGGTTACTCATTCGGCCACAGAAGGTTTATTAATTTAGTATCCTTCACATCCTTCTTAGGATGTAATAGTTTGTTATTTGAAGCCCCACTCTGGCTTTTGCCAGGGGCCGCAATATAGGCAGGCCATCAAAATGGCCAATTGTCTGAACGCGGTTTCTGGGACCTCTCCACGGTGATCCTCATCCGCATGATGGCACTTTGTGTCATCGGGTGTATTTCGCTTGTGTAATGTCCTGGTGGGGTAGAAAGTCAGTCAGTCAGTCAGTTTATTATTTGAATTAACTAAGCAGCCCTTATATGGGATATAATTTATTTGTTGTTTTAAAGCCCCACTCTAGCTGTTGCTCTGTGTGATGTCCTGGTGGGGTTGAACGTCAGTCAGTCTTTAGTAGTAAATAATTGTTAGGACAAATAAGAAGTGTCTAAATCAGAAAATGTATAATACACCTTTATTCAGTCTTGCTTAGGGAGTTATGTGCCTAGCGTCCATCATTAACTCATTTTTGATCCACATAATATCCTGCATGTCCTGGTCAGAAATCTATAAACCCGCACACAAAACCTGAGTTGTGACAAGTGATGCAAGCCACTCTTCATGTAGCATACAAGTCTCAATTTATTAAAGCATGCTCTACAGGTCAGTACCTTCCTTCGAAGTCGGAGTGCATCTGCCCGAGCAGCAAGGAACAACTAACTTTACCCAACTAAGCCAGTTAAACGGATGTACATGCAAACTCACTTCCTGGCACAAAGCCAGAATGCAAATGGATGAACAGCCAAGACTTTCTGCTGGAGCTTACGGCCGGAGCTTACAGCTGGTGAACGGAGAAGAAGAAGAACAAGGTCAGTACACATACACCATGTCAGGATGTACTATTTTCCAGCCATTGGAAAGCTGCCTCCATCTCAGACTCTATTGCATGGTAAATGTTGTGTCTATTTGTAAAGCTCTCTTTTTAAGCAATGTTAAATCACCTTTGAAAGGAACCTGCCCACTATTTTTAACTCACACCATATAGCCATCAGGGTATGTAACAGCACCATTTTACCTCACACCATATAGCCATCAGCATTTGTAACCATACCATGTTACCTCACACCATATAAACATCAGCATATGTAACCACACCATGTTACCTCACACCACATAGCCATCAGCGTATGTAACCACACCATGTTACCTCACACCATATAGCCATCAGCGTATGTAACCACACCATGTTACCTCACACCATATAGCCATCAGCGTATGTAACCATACCATGTTACCTCACACCATATAGCCATCAGCATATGTAACCATACCATGTTACCTCACACCATATAGCCATCAGCGTATGTAACCATACCATGTTACCTCACACCATATAGCCATCAGCGTATGTAACCACACCATGTTACCTCACACCATATAGCCATCAGCATATGTAACCATACCATGTTACCTCACACCATTTAGCCATCAGCCTATGTAAATATACCATGTTACCTCACACCATACAGCCATCAGCGTATGTAACCACACCATGTTACCTCACACCATGTAGCCATCAGCGTATGTAACCGCACCATGTTACCTCACACCACATAGTCATCAGCGTATGTAACCATACCACCTGGAATTGAATTTCCCTTGACCAGTTGGTACATTGATTCCGTGTGAATCATCAGTTGTCCATTTCTGACAACCTCTGTCCAAAGAAGCTATGAGCTTATTAGGGCTGTACCGAATAGTGATTTTCACTATTCGGCCAGATACGAATAGTGGGACCAACTATTCGGCCGAATACAAATAGTTTATCATCATCATCAGGTGCATTGCCGACTGGCGTGGGCAATTATGCCTCGCAACAATCTGAGATTTCCTTCAACATGTATTAGTTTCGTGTGTTGACTCACCTCCATGCCATGCAACTAGACTGTCAAGAATCTTCTCTCGTTGTCTTTCTCTATCCCTCCTCTCACAGATCTTTCCAGTGGTCACCACATGTTCCATTTTCCCTCTTCTCATAACATGGCCGAAAAATGATGACTGTCTCGTTCTGATGTCTGTGATTAGTTGCCTTCGGGCTCCCGCCTCTTTCAAAACCTCTTGGTTGCTTTTTTGGCTGTCCAAGGTATTCTAAGCATTGTTCTGTAAAACCACATCTCTGAGGCCTCTAGAAATAGTTTGGCCTGCCTACCGATTGTCCAGGACTCACAACGCATTGCCTTTAAATATAAGTGTTTTCTTGACGAGGCTAACAGTTACTATTGTACAGACCACATTTTCCAAAATGTAATCACAACCTTACTTATCCGCTGCACCTTCACGAATACAGATGGAGGATCAGTCGCACCTCGAGATAAATACAAAGACAATTTTTAGCATGCTGAGGTTGGCATTTTATGCATTATGATACACTCTGAGTGTGAAAAAAAAGGAAAAAAAAACTCTCTTTTCGACAGTGGCAAGGAAAGACAATTTAAATTTTAACTTTTAAGTATCTTCATGCCTTCTTTAATAATGTCACTATTTGTAGCCGACTTGATTTTCGCTGCGGCACTCCTGGAAAACGCACCGAGTTTGAGAACCTCTGCTGTAATGCCTCAGTCGAGTCAGCAGGCAAAGACCTTGCCAGCTGCTGTACCACACAACCGGGTTGCAGCTTCCCCTGCTACGACAGACTTAGGCAACAGCAACTATTGTGTTTATGAGAGAGTTATTTCAGTCTATCGCAGTTTATGCAGAAACGGGTGTAAGCTAACCACTATTCGTATTCAGCCCGACCGCAAGTATTCAGATGAATACCGAATATTTATTAGGTTCACTATTCGACCCTGAAGCAAATACGAAGCGAATATTCGGTACAGCCCTACAGCTTAAGCAAAGTTATTTAAATGGGTGGAAGTTTGTCTCATTGCTCAAAACCGTACTTGTCAAGGACAAATACATCTACCACCACAGTGGTCTAAACACTAAACAACTTTGTGGGTAATTCAGTGCATTGTTCAGGATCTGGTTCAGTTCGAGAAGATCATAGCTGATGCCCAAATAAGGCAGCTGTGACGACAACAAAACCATCGGTAGACCACATTGGCAAAAGTAAATACACAAACCCTGTAGGAGTCTTGTGTGTTTTTGCGTGTTTTACTATGCCCTGTCTGAACATAAACACCTTCAGGCGTATTGGATATACAGGGATAGACCTATATTTTATAAACCAATCTGCACTTGGTGGATGGTTTCGGCCACCTTTATTTTCCAGGACTGCACCTGGTCCCACTCAAGGCTGGGTCAACCTGAGAGCCAAAGTCATTTTTGAAGAAAGCCCAGTTCCATCAGTACCCGAACCCATGAAACATAAAATGTACATGCACAATAATATTTTGACTGGTGCACTTGAGTACGTGCAGTCACATAAGGTGTGCTGAAAGTGTTATGCCCATAATCTGGACATCATTTCAAGAAAAGTTAATGAGCCCAGAGAAGTATGGTAACAGTGAGTCGATTTTTTTATGTTGCCAGTGTGACCTCTTATTATTACATTGTCTAATGTGTGTTCTTATTGTTCTGTTGTCTTTGTTCTAAAATCTCTCTTCTTCTCTCTGTGAGTACATCATTACATGTTGATTTGTTTATTTTTATAGCCCAAAGAATGATGTGACTTTCTTGAGTTTAAGGTTTAGGTTTAAACAACAGATCAACATCATGGCACAAGTGCAGTAACCCATAAGTGCTCTGTTCTATTTTTAACTTAAGCCTGAGTTCGAAGAATCTCAGCGCAGTGCATGAACTCCTTAGCACCAGCGAGGATCCTGAAATTCTTTGGATAGATTTTCAACTCCAGTTTTTGCCGGGGCAATGCTGTTAGGCTACTTTTTTTTTATTTCCAACTGCCAAGGGATTTTTTTTTACGTGTGCAATTATACACATGGGCGTCCAATCTTACTACCCAGAGACAAGCCTTCACGGGGGCTTGAACCCAGGACCTCCAGCACTCGAGATGGACGCCATGCCCTGAGACCTTTCTGCCCCTATCCCTGAGTGCATCACTTCTCTGTTTCAGATTGCTAACAATGTCATAAGTTTAGTCTTAGTGGTTTACCTTTACCCTCCACATCTATTTTGACAGTTTTTGACCTCCTAAGTTTCACAGCAGTGACCAGCTAAAGATAAGTGACTGCCCTGGTGTGCATTCTTGTCCACTTTTTCTGGTGGATACTCAGTCCACTGAGCTGCATTTGCTCCTACACTCTTGCACATTTCCCATACTTTCCATTAACTGTGAAGTGAAAGTAAAGGAAGTCCCATAATAGACAGTGCTGTAGGGAGGGATGTGAGGTGTTAGGTCTTTACATATTCAAGACCTTGATATACAAGGTGTGGTGACTTGTTTCTTTACTTGTCAAATTTCATTTCTAGATAATTCCTAGAAAATTCTGGAAGATTTTTGACTACCTATTTTTATGATGTTGGTTAGGCAACAGGCATACTAGTTGAAAAACACAGCTCTGTCTCTGCTGAGGATTGAACCCAGATCCCTATACTGGTAGGCAAGCATCTCAAGAGAGCACTAATATAAAAGTATAAAACTAAATAACATAATAAATGCTGTACCTTTCTGGTCTCATCTTTTTCATGGAATGCTTGTGTGGCTAGACTAACCAGATCACTTCCTAGGCACACAACCTGATCAATGTTCAGACGATCAAGATTGGTCTTGCCATAGAGCCCTAGATGACGAATATGAACATATACATTAGGCTTAGCAGATAATAACATTTTATTGTTGCATGCTATTGGTGATTAGTATTATCATCATTATTAGTATATTTTAAAAAAAAATGATTTTAGTTGTATGGCCACAGTCATCCTAGAGATAGGCTTGATATCTTCCCTTGAAGTCAGAGTACATCTGTTTGTGTGGGAGGGAACAGCAAATAAATAAGCCAGTAAAACAGATGTACACACGAAACTCAGGTTCAGGTAAAAGCCAATAGTCCATATGGACGAATTACCGGGACCTTCTGCTGGAATTCACAGCCAGCGAACGGAAAAAAACAAGATTTTAGTAGTAGTAGCAGCAGCATTAGTAGTATTAGCAACAGAAGTGGCAGAAGTGGCAGCAACAGAAGTGGCAGCAGTAGCAGTGGTAGTGGTAGTAGAAGTTGTGATGTCATTTATGTCAATAATCCATATTTTCCTTTGGCACCCACTTGCTTTCAAATCAGATCTGATTAGGCTTAGTAGTCCTGGTAATTACTGTGGCCGCATTACATCACGATGACCACAACATGTGATCTTTGCTTATGGAAGAATCTGGTGCAGATTGTTATTTTCACAATCTGTCTGATAGTATGATTTCTCACTCGGTCAAGGGTGATTAAGTTTTTGGCTTTTCTCAAGCACCTCATCTGACAGCTGTTAATTTTATATAGGTGAGCCTCTGATAATATCCAAGTTTGGCACTGGTAGCATAATGTTGGTATGAATATGCTGTTTTTTATTTGTTTCTTGGTGATTATACTTATGTTTGGATGTCTTAATAATGGTGTGGTTACAATCTCAGACTCTCATGTGGAAGATCTGTGTTCAACCCCTGACGAGATGATAGAGTTTTTCTGTCAGAGCAAAATTAAACATCCGGCTACAGCACTAGTCATGCAGCCCTAAATCCTCAGGCTCATGACCCCCTATCTACACTGCCCCAAAAAGTGGTAGATACAGACAGTAGTAACATTTTTCTTTCACTTGGTACATAAGCACAATGGCCCTTTGGTATCTTCTTTCTAATTTTGATTATTCTACCTCCTCTGAGAATATACCTCCTAGATATTTAAATGTTTATTTTTACTTGCTTCACACACAAGTATTGTTCAGCTCTATAAGTAGCAGACGACAAACTGTTCTATTTCATGATACCTAACGGTAAAAGTGGAAGCTGATAATGATCATGATGACTTAGTTCACCATCCTGTAGCGGTTGTTCATTCATGTCTCTTTTTCCGTCACCTTCTTTAATTTCATCTGATTTTATATTTGTCAATATCCTTTATTTACCTTTAGTTCCATGCCTTTGATAGAACTGAGCTCAAGCAAATTATTTTTAAAAACCTGTTGTAATGTTTCACTTTATCAGAACCATTTGAAGAGTCTAAATCAGTGTTCTTTAACTGGTTGTCTGCAGATCTACAGTGGCTGGTGTAAATGTCCTGTTCTTCTGCCCAATCATCTGGCAGATATATTGGTACCTCAGTATATGTTCGCTTTGTTATACGTTCAACTTTTTCCTTGGTATACAATCACTGTTTGGAATATGAACCTGTATGAGTCAAAATTAGCCCTGACACCACATGCTATCTTTTCTCAAGACAAAACCACGGATGGAAATATAACCCAGTCAAAGCATAAACAAGCTGTAACAGCATTGTCTGGAAAGACCAGTCGATGTCACATAGTCCGAAACATCCTGATGTGAATCCAGAAGCAAAGTTACCCCGGACACGGAAGCAAACGTTAAATGAAAGCAGGAAGCTGGTGAATACTACATTCTCGGCAGTAAGCCGGTATACTTTCATTGCTTAATTTGGACTTGTCAGAGGACAAAGATAATCGTCTGGATCTCAAGGTCGGACTGCGACCTATCGTGAGGACATATCAATACATGGATGTACGAGTGAGCTTTGGTTGAACGAGTTGATTATTGATTGCATATGTATTCTTGTGTTGATCATTGCATTTGTCAATACACAAATGGAACTTTTAAAGAGAGTTCTCGTTCCGCTACGTTGGAAGCTTCAGCATTCCTTATGTTGTGTTACTCTTGGCCAGTGGCATGTTAAGTGTTGATGCCATTTGTTACATTGCGACACCCCTAGTCACTTTTACACTCGTCACAATGAAGGATCGCACGCCACAATGAGTCAAAATTAGCCCTGACACCACATGCTATCTTTTCTCAAGACAAAACCACGGATGGAAATATAACCCAGTCAAAGCATAAACAAGCTGTAACAGCATTGTCTGGAATGACCAGATGATGTCACATTTCCTAAACATCCTGATGAGAAGGCAGAAGCAAAGTTCTTTGGGCAGATTTTTTAGTTACAGTTAAACAGGTCCAAATAGTGAAAAGAGACAGGGAAAAAAAATGCCAGAAGTTAAGATTCCTTAAATATTACCGGAAAAAAGCTCTTTATGTATTTAAGTATTAGGCAGTACCTAAATTATTTTTACACAGCACCATCAGTGTATAATACACTAATAACAATTGAATTTTTTCATGGGAACAGATTAATTATTCTCCCTTTATTTCTTATGGGGAAAGTCATTTGGTGGTACAACTGTTTGGCATTCATCCAAGGATCCAGAACAAATTAGGTGTCTCTACTAAAGTACCACTGTACGTGATTGCAGCACTACACACTTCAACTCTAAGCAGCGGCAAATGTTGCATTTGTTGAAAATTTTAACTTTGTGACAATTAATTTGAGAAATAACCTGCAAACTAAATTTTAATTTTTTTTATGTTGTCAGGCGGTCCATGGAATAATTGTCTGTTTTTGCTGGTTCATGAGTTTAAAAAAAAAGGTTGAAAAACACTGGTCCAGACAAAGGCTTCAAGATATGAGGGTCAGCTTCATTGTAGCTGATTTTATCCTGGATGACTTGGCCTATCTCCACACAGAGGCTAGCCCCTACTTTCAGCACTGCACTAAGAAGGAACTCCATAGTCTTAAACACAATAATTTACTATGTCTATACTCCTTCGTTCGATCCCAGCTGCAGACCTTGAGCCTTGCAATGGTTTCAACAGTGAAATTGAGAAGCTGACTGTCCAGAAGCAACGACAAACTACTGGACGTAAATTTCCCAAGAAAAAACACAACAGCCAACAAATGCTGAGGTTAGTTCTGCAACGCCCTATAAAGGATACGCAACTTTAAAAAAAAATACTCCTACATATATACTATGTCTATCACCGATAACGAAGAGATACCACAGAGTGAAATCCACGGAAATGACACATTTTTTTAACCCTTTGAACTCAAAAGAATATTTTTTAAAAGACCCTTTTTTTATAACATTTAAATTTTTTTTTTTAAATAGTTATAATTCTGTGAAACCTGTCCTAACAAATTATAATGAAGAGAAGAAGAAGCAAAATAAAACTGGAGTTTTGGTCAGTTTTTATTTTTTTAAAAATCAAAGATGTTGAAACCTGTGATCAATGAGCAGATATTTGAGCCTGCTAGCAATTATCATCATCTCCCCTGAGCCACTAAAAAAAAAATACAGTAATAATTGAATCCAAAAACAATCTGCTGTCTATTAAGGGATACAATCACTAAATACAAACGGAGCAAAGACTTGAGTACTTTTACTTCATTTGACCAAGAAATATATAGCTTTGTTAATGTAGCCACATCTGACTATGTGACTGTAATCATACGTTTTCGTTTTTCTTTTTTTTTTTAATGAAGCACAGATGATATAATGACAACAACCCATAAAATTTATATTTTCACATTAAAAAAATATTAATTTTTTTTGCTTTTTAAATATGATCGTATCGACCGTGTCCACATGCTGGGCAGCTGGAAGCAGCACCAAAGCTATCATAAAGGTGTAGTGTCCACTGCTCAAAGCCAACATTCCATCGAAACCCCAGATATCAGTAGTTACGGGTTTAAGATTAAGCAAGTGAATCAATAGAACTATTTTCTGGTGTCGATTCCAAGGCCCCACTGTGAGGAAAACAAGAATAGACTCACTGCCTCCCTAACAAGCATGTAGTTGAAGTCAATTAGTTGGGGACATTGTTCAAAGTCAGAGTACATCTGCCTGAGAGGCAAGTAGTAGAAGTCTGCATACAAATAAGCCAGATCTAGAAACGAATGTGCATGCAGCACTCAAGTTCTAGAACAAGACTACAGTCTGGAGGTGAACGAACACCCAGAGCTTTCAGCTGGAATTTACAGCAAGTGAAAGCAAAGAAAAAGAAGAAGAATAGAACTATCAAGGAATAGCCACAATATCTGTGATAAGATGCCTTGGAGAGATTATAACAAGAATTGCTATGGCAAAGTTCCCTTTAGCAAAAATTACTCACCAGTAAGAAGATGCCAAACGTAACAAGAAAAACAGAGATTAAAAAAAAGGATATAGAGAATCTATGATGCTTTATGCATGTGAGTTCAGGGACAATAAGCAGACAGCTTAAAATTTATGACTTGAAGTAGGCATGGGATTTTGAGAAGAATGCTAGGAATATCATTCTATGATAGAAAAAGTAATGAGGCTCTCCTTCTTGAGACAGAAGAAAACCATAAACTCATTTAAGAATTTAGATGTAGAAAATGTCTTTTTTTTTTGTTTTGTTGTGGACATGTTATGAGAAGGTATGGTCTTGAGAACTTGTTGCAACTTTCAAGATTAATGGAAACAAAAAACAAAGGGATGATAACAAGATAAATACAGAGTAGGTGTGGCCATATAAATGGAAGCAAGAGGGGGGGGGGGGGGGTGACACAAGAAAACTGACCTGATCTATGATACTTAACTGATATCAGCAGGACATGATGATGATGATGATGATGATGACAACGACGACGTCAGTCTTACCAGCTCTAAAGGAAAGTAATTACCACGGCATACTCTTACCACACTCTGCAGCACAATAATTTGCCAAGGCTATGCTCTGTGCATATTTCTTGCCACCAATCTCCATAACAGGAAGCTGACCAAATGGAGTCTCTGAAAATTATAAACAGACTCTTAGAGTAACAGATAAATATTTATAGTCACAGAGAGAAACTCTTAAAGTAACAAAAAAGATTTATAGTAACAGAAAGAAACTTTTAAAGTAAAATAAGACAAACTTTCACAATGAAATAAGGGCAAACTGCTACAATTTAATTAAACTTGTTACTATTATCCCTAAACAAAAATCAAAACGCATGCAATAAGCAGTCAGACTAAATCCCTACCTTCATGATGTGTGAGGTGAATATTCTGATCCCTCAATCACATCTATCTGGACTAGTGTTTTTCTACTTTTCTCAAAAGCTGTGCCTCAGAACATGTCTGCTGTTTCATTTGCTCTTACACCAGGCCCTAAAATGGAACTAATCTGTGCCAGCTATGACCACCCCAAAGTCTCAACCACTATCATTGGGCCTGGTCCATCTGTATGTTCCTGGGCATACTCACTGAGTCACTGAGAAAGCAATAATGTAATGCAACTGATTTTAGTCAGCTGGGACCTCCTCAGAGATTTCAGATGCTATCTTCAAGCCCATACCATCTTGTCCTTATGAGAAAACTCATGGAGACAAATCAGTACTGCAGTCTATCTGTTCTTGCTCTTGAAGATGGCATGATTACTGATGAAAAAGAACAACACATACTGGAATACCAACAATGTGTTATTTTTCAGTTAATCACAGCTCCTACAGCTCACCTCATAATTGCTCTGCTCCTTGCTAGACAAAACAATTCAGAATACCCCTCGTGACCTTTGTGGAAAAAAATAGACTGCAGTCTCAGCAAAACCTATAGCATACACATGCACAAATGCCTAAGGTAACAGTCAGAAGTGCCAAGAAAGCAGTGTGCACTTCATCAATGTTGGAAACAGCAGCTACACGAAATCATTAGTGCATACACATTATTACAAAGATACTACCTGTTCTGTGGTAACAGTAAAAGTAAGTAAAGGTCCCTTTACACACCATAGAGACATCAGGTAATATGAGGCTAGACTCATGTTTGTATAGACCAATCTAATGTTGTCAACATCACACTGGTTACTTTTACTTTCCAGGACTTTCCCTGGTACCCATTTAAGGCTGGGTCAACCTGAAAGCCAAATTATCTTTGAACAAATCTGGCACAATGCAGATTTGAAGCAGCAACTTTCAGGTCTACAGTAGAGCATCCAGCTGCTACACCACGTTGGCTCCCTGTGGCAACAGGCCACTAGCCGTATTCTGAAATTTTGGATGCAGTCATGAAGCATTATAAATGTTGTATAAAAATACAATGTCGTCAGAAGACTCACTGTATTTCTCCGTCTGCCAGTCATCCTGAGTAAGTATCACATTCTCATATTCTCTTCCACCTGCAGCCAGAACCAGTCGGATTAATTCTGCTCGACCTTTGGCATCATAGTAAAATAACTTCAAGCTGTTGGAAGCCATTGGGATTCTATCAGATCAGCTGGAAAATAGGCGTAGTTAGGAAAAGTTCATTCAAGTTTGTGATAGATGCCAGAGTCATGAGAGGACCAGAGATTGGAAGTGACCACTATCTGGTCACAATAAAGAGAACAACTGAAAGAACTGCTCCAACAAGGCAACACCGACAACTATGCAAGAAACAAAGCAACCAAGAAGGGATGAGGATTAAAGCATACAAGCTAAGAGAGCCAGATATTAAGGCTAGATACCAGGAGCTTATAGTGAAAGCAATAGGAACTGAAGAAGAACCATCAGAGGACACTGAAACCCTCTGGTGCAGATTCAAGAATATCCTCACAGCAGCTGCAGTAGAAGCATGTGGTGAAGTCCCAAGTGGAAGGCGGGGACACAGGACACCTTGGTGGACAGAAGAAGTCAAATTGAAAATAGGAGAAAAGAAAAGGGCATGGAAGCAATACCTGGCAGCCAGGAACACAGCTGAAGAAATAGAAAAATATAAACAATATGTGGCACTCAGAACAGAGACCAAAAATATTGTGCTTAAAGCAAAACAGAAATCATGGGAAGAGTTTGGAGAAAAGTTGGAAAAAGAATGCAAGAGAAAACCAAAAAAACTGTTCTACAAGACCCTTAAGAACATGAGGAAGGAGAAAGAGTGCCCACTTAAATTCATAAAAGACAAGGAAGGGGCTCTGCTTACTTCTACAAATGATATCATGGGCAGATGGAAAGAATACTTCTCAGAGCTCCTCGGCGCTGAGGGAAGTCATGACCCAGAAATAATGGACCTCACTGCTGAGAAGGAATTCAATCATGTGGAAGATAACATCAGGATGGAAGAATTGAAGGCAGCTATTGAGAAGATTAAGCTGGGAAAAAGCAGCAGGTCATGATGGTATAACACCAGAGATGGTCAAATATATGGGAGTCGAAGGTGAGCGCCTTCTACTGAAGGTTCTCCAGGCAGCCTGGTGTAGCAAAACTATACAAAAGATTGGGAGATTGCCATAATTATACCTATATTTAAAAAAGGTGATAACAGACAATGTGAAAACCACAGAGGCATATCCCTCCTCAGCATTCCCCCGTAAAAGTTACTCTAGAATTCTTGAGCAGAGACTTAGAAGTCTGGTAAGAGCCACAGCTGGACGAGGCCCAGTGCGGCTTCAGAGCAAACCGAAGTACTCAAGACCTTATCTTCACACTGAGACAGATGAGTGAAAAAGCCCTGGAATATAAGAGTGAGATTCACTTATGTTTTTTGGATCTGGAAAAGGCATTTGACAAGGTACCCTGGAACAAGCTCTGGGACTGCTTGGCAGGGAAAAAACATCCCAGCACCCCTGATCAGTGCAATACAGAGTTTCTACAAAAAGTGCAGAAATTATGTAAGAACAGCAGACCAAAAGTCAGAAGAATTTAAGACCACCAGCGGTGTTAGACAAGGTGATATTCTCTCACCTTACCTCTTCATTCTTATGATGGATGATGTCATCAAGACCTGTAAGGAGAAGACAAAGAAGTACTCTGTAGGGTACTGGAAGATGAGACCAATCTGTATATCAGAGCTGGCTTTTGCAGACGATGTGGCCCTGATAGCTAAATCAGAGGCACACCTTCAGTACAACTTACTTGTCTGGAAGGAAGAGCTTGAAAAGAAAGGGATGACCATCAGTGTCTCCAAAACTAAAACCATGGTGATCTCAAGAGAGGAGAAGAAACACCAGATCATGATGGGTCAGTATGCGTTGGAGCAGGTTAACCAGTTCAAATACCTTGGAGTTGTATTAGACCAAAATGGAGGCATTAAGACTGAGCTGGCTACACGAAAAGCAGCTGCTGGGAGACTCTTCCAGGCCATAAACCGAGGGTTTCTTAGCAAAAGAGAAATTGGCAAGAGGACGAAAATGGCTGTTTACCGCTCTACCTATGTACCAGTCCTGACCTATGGGTGTGAGGCATGGGCAATGACAACAGCTCACAGAAGCCAGCTGCAGGCCTCGGAAATGAGATACCTGAGAAAGGTGGTCCAAGTGACAAGAAGGGACAAAGTCCGCAATCAGACAATACGTCAAGATCTTGATACCCAGCCCTTACTAACCCGAGTGGATCAGTCACAGTTACGATGGTTTGGACATGTGTGCAGAATGGGAGAAAATCGGCCACCATGGCAAGCATGGGAGGCTAAGAACCAGGGAACCAGACCTCCGGGACGACCCAGGGTGCGCTGGGAAGACAACATCCGACAGTCCCTGACTGACAGAGGACTGGAATGGAACAAAGCCAGAAAGAAAACTGCTGATAGAGACGTCTGGCGATCTCTCTGGCAAACCTCTACACCCCAAGGTAGAAGAGGAGCGACTAAGTAAGTAAGTAAGTAAGTGAATTTTATTTCATTTAATCATTAATATCCTTTTCAAAAATTCTGGATTACAATATTAGGACTTTTTTTGGTCTTTCCATAAACTTATTTGGTACATCTCATGTTTTTGGGTTCAAAAAGAGAGTGACTTCCCTTCCCATTCATAAATCGCTGTGTTGCACTGCTTGTGCTATGTTGTGAGGGTGGGGGGGGGGGGGGGATCAGCCAGTGACCGGCCAACAACGCATAGCATTTTACTAGTTGTTGCCACCATCTGGCAATATCCTGTGTTCTAAATTACAGTATGTGAGCGGTTTTAAAGTCTCGAAACAAACAGAACTGGCCCAAACTCCCCCTTCCCTCTGGTGCCCCTTATGTCCTATGAGAGAGTGCAGCCTACGTCCCATGAGAGAGTGCAGCTTATGTGCGTAGCATGGCACCCCCACAACATAGGACAAGCTATGTGACGTGGCGATTTATGGATGGGAAGCAAAGTCACACTCTTTCTCTGTCCGAAAACGTGAGCTGTAATACTTTTTTTTTTTTTTTTCTTCAACCTTCTGAAGCTTCGAGGTTCATTGCTGCAGACATCATCTGCCTCCATTTATCTGTGTTACTGCCCTTCTCTTTTTAGTTAGTGATAACCAGTATTTGTAGGTCTACCTGAATATCATCTGACACCATCTTTTTGGTTTGCCTCATGGCAAAGTTGTTTCCTCTAGTCATCTGCCGTTATCTCTGCATGTCCTAAATATTGTAATCCATTAGACTCATCATTCTGATCACTGATGCCAGTAATTTTTGGTGATATAAACAGCAAGTTGATATGTTTAAGTACTTGGGTACCCTGATAATATCAGATGGAAGATGTGTTAGAGAAGTTAATTATCAAATAGCTCAAGCAAAGGCAGCATTTAACTAAAAGAACAATATTTTATATAGCTCTTAAAACCTATGTAAATCCTTTCTTGATATATAGAAGTGAATCATAGACAGCTGGTAAATTAGTTAAAACCTTTTTAGAAGCTCCGGAGATGTGGTTTTATAGATGAATGATGAGAATACCCTGGACAGAAATTGACTCATGAAGAGAACTGACGCCCGGCTCTCTAGCGTAGTTGGCTAAACCGGATTGCGTGGAGACCAGGTGACGAACTTCCTTGTGGTCTGGGTTCAATCCCAGGGGTAGGCAGGAAAGCCACATTTTCTCCCAGATTGACGTTATTTACAATGGAATCAAGGCCGAAAGGTTGCAATATCCATAATACCGAGCCTAAGGGTTAACAACTCACAGCTTCTGGATACTAAAACAAACAAGAGAACTGACTGCCCAATTCAGAAAGAGACATCTAAATTCTTTGGACATGTGATGAGGAGACAACTGGCGTACATCATACAGTAGGAAAGCTGGAGGGGAAGAGAGGCAGAGAGAGACCAAGAGAACTGATGCTGGACTATTTGACATCATGGCATGGAGAATCATGTGTGTCAAAGTTGACTGAAAGTACACAAACAGAAGGTTGTTGATATGCATGACTACCAATGCCACAGGGCATTGACTTTAAATAGATGAAACAGATTTTGAATTTTGATGCTGCTTTTACAGTCTCCCTTCTCCACTGTTTTCATCTTTGATAAGTGCAGAGATTCATTATAAGACTTTTCAGACATTGGATATTTATACATAATATTTTTACATATGTGGCTTAGGAGTTATGAATGCAGTTTTATAATTCTGACTTATCAAGGTCAATATCTCCAGTCTGTTAATTTTATCTACTTAATACCAAAATATACTAAATTAAGGTTTTACTTCAGCCCATCATTCTGATTTTCTTAGATACTGTGGCATTATTTTGTTGACTGTTTTGCTAACTGAGTTATCACAACTTTTAGGATTTTAGTATTAGTGAGGAATAGGCCTTTCACCTGGTGAAAAGCAAGCAATGGTACACAGTACTGGCACCTTTCTAAAGGTATTTTTTTCAACACCATTGTTATAGAACTTTCTGGCAAGTAACAGCACCTTTTTATATATATTTTATTGTGATTACCAGCACCTTTCTTCTAGAAGAAAAAAAAGACCACAGCGCTCCAGACAGATCTCTAGATGCTCTGCCTCCAGACAGATCTCTAGATGCTCTTCTCTCCTCTTAACTACCTCCACAAGCAAAAGACAGACTGATAACAACTTATTCATTTTGATGAAGTAAACACAACGTGCCCTTAGTGAATAGCTGATGTCTGTCAGCCCTAGAGGTTTGTTCCCCCCCCCCCCCCCCCCCACCCCTTTCTATTTCCCCCATTGTTATTTGTGCTATCAAAATTATTTAGAGAGGGAGGTAATAAATAGTGTTAAAATGTTGCTTTTTATTGTTTTATGCTTTTTATTTTTTTAAGCCACTGGGAATATACGTGAATGAATGAAGATTGGGACACTGCAGAAATTCAGTGGCAGCAATTAAGTTTACAAATGCTTACTTAATTACCAATTCTGTGATGAAAATCTTCAAAGTATATTTAACTGAAGCACCCTTCTTGGTTGTGAGCTAAAACAGCATACCAACAGTATCAAGCTGTCGCTAACTAGAACCTCACCCGTTTCACCAGCATCTGCATCCTTTCGTTACTTGAAATA